ATATATTATATGCTATTTTCTAGCAACTGTTGCATTAGAAAGCTAGAAAGCATATAAAGAGGAAGATTTGCCTCTCATAGAAAACTGCATCCTTAAAATGCCAATATGCAAGATAAAAGACTTCAAGTCAACTTTTCATATTCTGTCATGCAACTTTGCTATGGCACATTTGGGCAAGATTTTTAAATTGCTTTGTTTTGCTGTGTTTTTAATCATGTTAACAGTTGTATATGTCCTATAAACAACAGGCCTTATAAAAGAGTAAAATATTATTAATAAATGCCTTTACTCTGGCTTAATATAAGTCAGTGAGGATTAAAACATATATGCTATGAATTTAAGACTGCACCATCTGAACTTAATGTAAGTAACGTGACAGTGGACCATTTATGAACCCCTGTGATCGATCACAGACCTTAAAGGTTTTTGGGCATTTTTCCCAAACCAAATTTCTCTTCTTCTAAGTTATCATTGGTGCAAGGTGTGATGACTTTCAGGCATCAATTAATATAAATTGAAAGCAGGCAAAGTATTAATTAAACATGACACCCTGATTATTTAAGCCTTCTATTAAAGTTGATTATTCACAGAGAGTGGATAGCCTGCTCTTCAACAATGACGGATGTTATCAAGGTTTACTGATTTCCTTCAAGTCTAGTGTTTCCAACTATTCAGAACAGAAGGAATAAATGAAGTGAGAAGAACCCTGGAACGAGTCTGATAGACAGACTGACTAATCTCAGACCCCCAAGGTCAAAGTAAAGCAATTCATTTCTTGGCTTTCATGAACATGAGACATGATTCATCCATCTGAGAGCAGAATTACAAACATTATACATCTCAATGATAGGTTCTTTGCACCGTGTAACTTTTTGAACAGTGATCGACTGCACAGCTGCCACAAAATTAATGTCATAAAGCAAAACTCATTATATTTGCAAATAAAAACACTTTGATTTTTAAGAACAAATGTACACATTATCAATTATTACCACTACGCACTTCATTTGGGGGGAAAAAACATTTTAAAATTCATATATTCCTTGGGATTCTATCACCTTCATGGTCCAAACTTTGGATATCTGTGCTCCTCAAAATACTATTCTTACTCTAATATTTATTGTTTGTGGAGCCAGTTAGCATGCTATAAATAATTATTCAATGAAATACTTTTATATTTCTATAAAACTTCAATGATAATCACTGTGTTTTCAAATAAAAATGTTAAATACCTCCTAAAGGGTAACTACTCCCATAGATCCAAAGCTACTCTTAGAGAAGAAAACACAAATTATAAGACCGACCATGGGAACATTTTTTAACATTACAAATGTAATCACAGAACAGGAATTTTGCCCAAAGTTTTAGGATTAGTGCTTTACAAGCTTTAAAGAATAGATGAAACTTAAGAATAGAAAAAGCCACGAGCTAGTTATTTGGATTGCATTAATGTCCCAGTTTATCTCCCACCTGTTACGATATTAAGGAACTGTTCTGTGAGTCATACTCATAATAGCAGTTCAGAAGTTATTCCATAAAGTAATGTTAGCTAATTTGAAAGATTTCCACTGAAATTAGATTATATGTAAAGGGTTGCCAATCGTGATCATGAAACCTTATTCCACATCCTATATATTTTAACTCACATTGCTATTTTCACTGATCTAAACTAATGATCCCTTTTTCTATCAGGTCACAATTTTAGGGAAATTTTATTGCCTAGGTGGAGGAGGACAGTAAAAAGGGTTGTATCTCCAGCTGATGATTCATTTCACCAGCTGCCGAATGCTGCCCGTTACAACACACCTGGACACATGCACCTGTGACTGATGGGCAAACACATTTATCTTGGCACGTCACAAAGGAGATGGAATTATAATTATTCTCCCTTGTATCTAAAGGTATTTTGGAGCCGGTCTCCCTACAAAATAATACAAATTACACATCTGGACGAGGTCCACATAATTTTACCATCTGTTCTCTATATTCGATCATCAATATTTCCCAAACCATTCTCTGTGCTTAAAAAATAAGATTTAGTTTTAAAAGACCTGGAAAAATTGTCAACATTTCAGGGAAATGCTAGTTTTAAAATTAAGACATTGAATAAACTGCTCAAAACCCTGAATTTCTTTGGTTGATAAATACATAGCACAAATTTAACCTTTGCTTTCCATTAAGGGGATTTTGGAGATTTCTCATATTCTGATTTTGAGAAAATAAATGTGTTGTCTGAGTTTTACACAGACTCCTCCATGCAAACATTGAATATCTGAGTACCTAGCATAAAAGAACCAAAAGGTATCAGAGGTTTCTTTCTTCAAGTTGTCTTGGCAGTTACTCATTATCTTGACCTAAAAATATAGAGATTTGTACTCTCTCCTGAAAAGTTCCTAAGTTTAAGAGCTTAAAATATAATTTTAAAATTAAAAGTATTCTAGGAATATTTAATGAAATTTGCAGAATCATGATTTCCAGAAAATGACAATATTTCATCCAGTGTAACCAGTGATAACAATCTTAGTCTTATACAACAGGCTTCAATATGGTGTGAAAATTTTTTTGCGTTTCTTTCAAAAACACTGAAGAAAGAGAATTGCTTAGGATACTGAAACCGAGGAAACACTCTTATGGGAGTAACATTTTACCTTGCTCCTAAAATAAGGATATGATAATAGTAGTAACAACCAATTATGTAGAGATTAAAAAGTGACAGTCACTAATCTGTGTACTCACTACCACAGCCCAATGAAGGTGCTATTATTCTTCTCACTTTTTGAGATGAGGAAATTTCTTTGCAACAGCGGACAACAAACCCTGAATCAATACATCACTGTTCTTTAGTATTTGTATATCTTGATCATGAACATTATCAATGTGTGAAACTAAGCCTCTTAAATTAAGAAGAAGAAAGAGGGAGAGAGAGAATCCTTGACTGGCATACCTCTCTGGCAGAATGCATCAGAAATTCAGATCAAGCTAATAATGGCATAGTTTGAATATGCTTAATATGCACAATAGTATAATTGTACATATTGAAAACAAAATCTATGCTTAAATTATTAAATAACATTAAATTAGAATATGAACTATCTCCATGCCACTGATGTACCATGTAATAAATGTTACATTATAGGTCACATCCACAGACCTACAGTTTGCCATTCTTTTCATAAGAAATATTCTCTGGTATTGGATTTTAGTAACTGGTCTCTTTAAAATGTTTGTAGACTTAAAAAAGACAGTCATAGGGCTTTCCTGGCGGCGCAGTGGTTGAGGGTCCGCCTGCCGATGCAGGGGACACGGGTTCGTGACCCGGTCCGGGAGGATCCCACACGCCGCGGAGCGGCTGGGCCCGTGAGCCATGGCCGCTGAGCCTGCGCATCCGGAGCCTGTGCTCCGCAATGGGAGAGGCCACAACAGTGAGAGGCCCAAAGAAAAAAGACAGTCATAAACCATAGTAATCTCTTTCACACAATGGAGACTCAATAAATACTTTACATAAAACCTAGTAAGAGGAGTCCTTCCTCCTCATTGCCACTTACACACTATTTGCAAAAATAAAAAGGCAGGGCAACCCATTTATCTCTGTAATCAGCAGACTTAGAGTCATAATGTAGTTTATCATTTCAGAGCAATGCTAGAAAGAACTAGCTCCTGGCAAACGTATGTTCTCTACAAAAATTCCAGGTATAAATATGAAAACATTGCTAGAAATTTATCATATTTCTCAATAAAATAACCATTTCACGTGTTTAAATTACATAGTGATTTGCATAATGGTTAAATCAGATAGTATGAAACACTACTTCAACCTCAATTACTGGTTTGCATATTCAAAATTCTTACAACTCCGGTACTTGGCCAGATCTAATCGGCTGCCAATATACTTGCTGCCCGAATTTTAGTCTACCTTAATTTGAATTGTCAACCCTTAAGCATGTTCTCTGAAGTCTGTTTCCCTTTCTTGGAAGTTTGTCCCTCCCTCTCTCTCTCTCTCTGTCTCTCTCTCTCTCTCTCTCTCTTATAATTACCTAAGGAACACCTACTCATCATTTGAGTCTCTATATAAGCAACATCTCCCTAGATAAATATTTTCTCCTTTCGTCTCTGTCATATGGGGAAAATAATCTACTATGGTACCAATCACACCATGTTAGTTACTTGTTTACACATTTGACTCAATGACTAGACAATGGAATCTTGAATACATCTTATTCATCATGTCAGATGATGCACAATAGTTGGAACATGGTATAGATATTTCATAAACGTCAGATGAATTAAATAACTCTAAAATTCTGTCTTTATCTTACACCGTACTACTTAAAATTTCCCTTTTCTGGCTGTAGATTATGTGATTTTCCTGTAAAAAGTCAAGTTTTTAGACAAATCATAAAAATAATTCAGTTTTCAAAGTTCTAGGTTAAAAACAGTTCATTCTGAAACATTATATAAATCATCATCAAATCACCTGATCATCAAAAGGATGATTTTTACCAATAACAAAAAGTAAAAGCAGTCATCCAGCTCCCCAAATTTACAAGTTCCTAGGATATTCTGCACTTATTTATAGGTTTTCATAACTACTTGTTCATTAATTACATTATTCTCTTTAATTGGATAGCTCTGAAAAAGCTCACATGAATTACTAGAAATAATCAGCTTTCGGCGTTCACATCTCATAGCACGTTTGTGAACATCCAAGAGTCCGTTTTAAGTTGTATGTATGTTTTTATGAAATGAGTTACCTAAAATATAACTCTATTCTTTTATGCTTTCAGGTTATCAGGCAATTTTATATTGGATGTGGAATACAGAATCAAGTTATTTACATCTAATTTCTGATAAAATCAAGTAAGTTTTACTGCCCAAGAGAATGATGATAGTGAGAAAGCTAATTAGCCCTCACTGAATTCCTTCTTTAGGTCCACTTTTTTAACCATACAACCTTACATTTCATTCCTTATAAATATTTCAGAGTAGTTATGGCTACTTACTTTTCAGGATTTTCCACTTCCTCGGTAACAAAGTTGAGATAAAACCTAAAAAGACATACATGAATTATAAACCATTAATATATTTTATGATCATCACCCAAAGTTTGAAATTTTGAATATTTAAAATCAAACTCAGAATCATAAAAACTTTATAAACAAATAACCTAAGATGAAAATCTCCAGCACCCAAAGCTCCCACAATTCATTTTTCTATCAAGCAGTATTTATGGAGCTCTTTTTAATTTCTTAACTTTTTCATAGAGGCATACACAGCACACAAACAGTAAAGTGAACAAATCTTAGTATACAATGATAAATTTTTACATATATATGTACACCTATGTATATATGTATATAGGTGTATATCCTTTCGACATAAGGATCAAAAGATACAACATTTCTAGCACCCTAGAATGTCCCCTCAAGGCCCTTTGCAATCATTATCACCTCCTCCACCCTCCTGTAAAGGCAACCACTACTCTGATTTCTACCACTATAGACCAGCTTTGTTCGTTTCATTACAATAGACTAATAATATTTGCTTGTATAACTATTATACAATATTTATTCTTTTGTGTCTGGCTTTTTTGCTGGACTTTGTGGGTCTCATCCATGTTGTTGCTGTATGGACTTTATGTCTGTGGGTCTCAGCCATGTTGTTTGTAGTAATTCATCATTCTTTATTGCTGCTTTTCATTGTATGAATATAACACTATACACTCTACCACTGATGGATATTTGAATCATTTCCAATTTACAGCTATTATGAATATAGATACCATAAATATGCTTGTATATGCTCTTTTGGGGACCATGCAATCATTTCTCTTGGGCATATACTCAGAATACGATCACTGGGTCACAGAGTAGATACATGTTTATAGTCAAACTATTTTCCACCAGTTTTGCATTCCTACCAGCAGTGTATGAGATTATCACATGTCAGCCACTGGGGAAATAAAAGTAGAAAATCTATAATCTTTCTTGTCAAGGAGCTCATAGTTCATAGAATGGTCCATAGAGTGGTGTGATACAGCACAGAAGGCAATGTTAGAGCATGCCCAGGTTACCATGGGATGCCAGGGGTGAAGTCTAAACCAGACTGGCAGGTCTTGGAAGGTTTCTGAGAGAAGGCATCACCCAAGCTGAGACTTCAAAAATGCTTGATGTTTAGCCCTGGTCAAGTGGCGTGAGGACATTCCAGGCAGAGTACAGCACATGAGCATGGGGGTGTGGGAAAGCTCTATATGCACAGGGGTGTGAGCAACAGCTTAGTACTCTGCAGCACAAAGCGTGCCCTGGGAGTGAGAACAGGATGTAGGTACAAGATGGCCTTAGGCTTCTGGGAATCCAGCTTTTAGTAGGGGTGATAAAAACTTGCAGGACAACAGAAGCATGATAATAGCATTTCTTAGTTTTAGGGAATTGGCTTCTGGATATGAACACAGAAGGCACATAGGAAATAAAAATGGGATAAAGGCTAATAAATTCTCAATTTGCACTTTTTTTTTTTTTTTGCGGTACGCGGGCCTCTCACTGTTGTGGCCTTTCCCGTTGCGGAGCACAGGCTCCAGACGCGCAGGCCCAGTGGCCATGGCTCACGGGCCCAGCTGCTCCGTGGCATGTGGGATCCTCCCGGACCGGGTCACGAACCCGCGTCCCCTGCATCGGCAGGCGGACTTCCAACCACTGCGCCACCAGGGAAGCCCTCAATTTGCACTTTTTCCTTTCAATTCACTGTTTTCCACCCAAATAACCTCAAGTCATAAGGCAACTATGCCTCATGCATAATAGCAACGGTGAAGTTGCTTTGTGTGTGTGTGTGTGTGTGTGTGTGTGTGTGTGTGTGTGTGTGTGTGTATTTAGGCAGCTAATTTTAGGCCCATTGTTAGCCATTACACTGTAAGTTGATAACTAAAGGGCAAAACACTTTGAATATTTCCCCCAGATCCTAAACACTTTTGTCATCTCTTACATGACAAGAAGCATTGGAGGCACGCAATATTTCACTTTCAAGTCCCACAGGATTACACATATTACCCTAAATTTATGGTCCTAGAGAAATTCAGATTCCTTTCCCTCACTTTACGACATTACTTATCCCATCCAGGCATGTCAATTGCCTTGCATCCTTGACTTCTTTTTCTAATCTAAAGCGACCTCTGGAGACCATTTAAAGCCCTTAAAGTTCTCTTTCAAGGTTCCAAGATGTAAAATTGAGGCAGACTCCTCAAATAAGCACACAGGGATAACTGGATCATGAAGATGGGAGAACTAAGGGATCATAATGAAGAGAACTAGACATACAAAGACGTTTCTACTTTTCCATTTCAGAGGCTTAGAAACTTTCCGCAAAGTAAAAAAGTCATATTTCCATTGTATTCCTCTATGCTCTTATTATTCCTTAGAAGATAAAATAGCTATTATATAGGTCCACAGAAGCATGGTTCTATAGGGACAAATTCTCTATCATCTAAAACCAAGAGGCTGGAATATTAGCCCATCAGCCTTTAATATAATTAAGGTATCTCACACCTTAAAACAAAGATGAGAAAACCTGTCTTATTCCACCTTTATTCACAAATAGGCAGTTGATGTTCATGGTTGTAAAACAAAACAAAACAAAACACAAGACAACAGGCCCAAAATGGAGTCGCTTATGCTAAGCCTCGTGTCACCAAACCAAACTGTAATTCACTTAAAGTTTCAGATCACCCAGAAATGGAATCTGAAACCAGTCAATTAGGAGTTGCATTATTTAAGCATTCTGCCTGACAGACCCCTGCCATCCACTAAATGAAAATAACTTTCTAATAACCAAGCTGTTTTATGGCTTAGTATAACTTCCTTGTTCTCACCGCCTTCTGCCTATAAAAGCCTTCTCTTCTGTACAGCTCCCTGGAGCTCCTTTCTGTCTGCAAGACGGGATGCTGTCAATTCATACCGATTTTTGCTCAAACTCTTAACATTTTAATATGCCTCAGTTTACCTTTTAATAAAGTTCAGGTGTCTAATACTGTAAGGACCATGTTCTAAGTAGAAATATTTGAATACCTGAGAGAAAACAGTAGCACCAAAGGTGATCTAAAAAGTCAGCAGAGCAGCCAAGGATATTTTTTAATGACTAGAAAGTAAGTTTCTAAAAATAGAGGTTGTAGTTACACCAGGAACGCAAGCAACAATCAATACTTAGATCTGGAATATGCACTCTGAGGGATCTGATGTGTTTGTTATAAGCCCAAGGCAGTGGAAAGTACAAGAAGAAAATGAACAAAACAAAAAACCTAAAAAAAAAACCCAAAAAACAAAAAACCCACGCAAAAACCACACACACACTTAGAAATATTTCCAGGCTTCTCACTTCAAAAATAGCCAGTTCCTTCTAAACAGTTGTTTTAGAACTGGTCTTTTTCCAACAATGTTAAGGCGAGAAAGGAAACATTTATGAAAAAAGAACGCAATTTCAAATATTTTGCCATAGAGAAAAAAGGAAAGGGCTTGGGGCAGGGTGGGAGGTGGGAAGGAGAAATCTTCTTATTTTGGTCCAAACATTCACTCCTGTGGGAAATACACCTTTATGCTCTCTAAGTTTCCAGCCACACCTTCATGCTCTCTAAGTCTCCAGCCACACCTTCATGCTCTCTAAGTCTCCAGCCATGCGTCCATAGCCCAACTCCTCAAGTTCTCTAGAGAATGTTCATAAGATCTATTGTTCCAGCTTTTCCATGATTGTGTATAAAAGGCACTGCAAAGCTGGCAATGCATTCTGATACCCAACTATGTGAATTATTTTGAAAAGAAGCTTATTCTTTAGATTCGATTTGACACAATGCGACAAAATAATCCCAGCAGGTGCTTTAGAAAGACTAAATCCACTGAGGATAGGATTTAAAAGGGAGAAAAAAGACAGACCAAAATCTATTTTCTATCACACAATTCAAAAAAAAATAAAAAATCCCACCAAGCAATATTTAGCTTTGGATCAGGATATGGGACTGAAATTGATTGAGTTCCCCTGGGCCACAAGGGAGACTGGCAGACATATTTCTCTGAACGCAGACGTTGGCAATAATATAAAAGTTGTTCTGACCCAACTCTGTGGCCTGGCTGGGTTAATGATTTCTTTCCCCCTAATCATGTTTCTGTGAAGGAGTTTTCATCATTCGAAAAACGTCCAGCACTCCTCATAAACCAACAGCCTGCTCTATTCAGATCCAAGGTTTGGCTGCGTCTTGTTCCTATTCAACGCATAGGGGGTGACTTACTAACGGAGCAGGGCCTCCCAGACAACAGGGGTCTTGCTGCATTTACTTACACCCTGGGTGGTTAACTTCTGAGGACAACAGCTGCTTCTGTCTCCTTATTTGCAATGCGCCCTACACCCTTTTTTTTTTTTGTTTTCCTTTTTTTGCATCAAAGATTGTCAGGGCAGCAGCACAGGGAGTGGAGGCTCATTTATGGCACCCAATTTATAATTCCACAACCCAGTCTTGTAATTCCATCATGAAAGACAAAAAAAGGTCAGAGAGGCAGGATCACATTTGGGAAGTGCCTAAACACCCCCTGCTTTGGGAACTCTTTTAGTGTCCATCTTGCTGCGTTTATATCCAGATATTAACTTTTTCCTCTGGCACTCCAAACCAACAGACTAGTCCTTCTACCCACAGCTCCCTTTTTCTAAGACTGGTGGCCGCAGATTAACAAGCAGATGATTTCTACCTATCCACAAAGCAGCATGCAGGTAGCAGAACAGCCTGTTGGAGACATACAGTTACTTATCTGCCCCCTACATTAACCATTGGTAACGCGTAACAGTCCATTGAAAATCCCGGCCTTAATTTCCTACACTATGATTGGACCCTCTAGAATACAAGAAAACCAACAGTTTCCTGTTCTTTAAACTAGGATGTGGACATGAGGATTCGACGGGTAAAAGTATGACCAAAGGTTCATGTAAACCCCATTTACACTGTAAACAGAGTATTGAAATATATTTCAAGGCCCAAGATGGAGCCACTCAACCTCCAAACGCCAAGCCACCTCTGGGGTCTATAATTATTTCCTTGTTTCATACTCATTTTCTATTTTTCTTTTCTTTGCTCCTTACTCTTCATCCTATAAAAGCTTCCTGTCCTCCACCCCATTTTGCCGTTCTTTGGACTCGTTTATTATCACCTAAATTGTCATTTTTAATCATTTTAACAAAAGTAACATTTGGGGCTCAGCATCAACAAAACGCAAGATTAAGATAATAAGGTCATTCAAAACGAAAAGAGTCTTTATACTTGGAGAAATCTACCAGCCCTCAAAAGCCTACAGAAGTGGAGATTTGCTCTACATAAAGCATGTAACCTGAATATTCAGCACTTATAGTAGGGGAGTGAGTTGGATAGAAGAATACTGTTAAGATTCCGTGGGAACAGATGCATGGTACTCACAGGCTAAAGAAACTTCATTCAATAGAATTAATCAAATCTCCCTCGTGACGATCTCCACATTCCGCATTCCTGATTGAATACCGCCAAGCCCCCAACACTTGGCTCTAGCTGAAAGCTTTTGTCACCTCCCCCACTTGCTCTGGTGTCTCTTGGTGACCCTCCCAGGGCTTGGCTGGTGCCCCAGGGTGCCAGAGCTGTGATCAGGCTGAATAGCCATAGAATAGATGATTCTGCTGCTAACACTGGGAGCACAATTCCGTTCTATTTTTTGTTCAGCACCACGTTGTGCTTTGGACAAAAATAAAAAGACTTCAAAAATACTAAGAGTAATGCTTACACGCAATGGCTATCAAAATATTTCGAGAATACACAAACATTTTACACTGGACATTTTAGAGCTACAATCTTCTAAGAACTTCAAACATTTTGCTTCAAATACCATATTAAAATTTTTAGTTCCTGTACTCTCCTAATTCTCCTCTATAATTCAGTGAGATTAACAGGGTAAAAATATTTTTATATTCCATGCATTAGCTGGAAGGTAAGATCCTAAAAACATAAGAAACAAAAGGAAATTGTATTTGTATTTGAAATGAATTTACATAATTTTTGAGCTAGTGTAGTTCATTATTTTTAGACTCATAGAACATTCTCACAGCAACTGTACAACTATTAGCTCTATAAATAATAAAGAAGAAATATTGCTAGTAATTATTCCAAAACAATGAAATTTAATTGCATTACAATTATTTTGATGTTTAAGTAGTATTTTTCTACCTAATGGGATTTCTTGCAGTAGTCGCTTCAACTAAATCTTATTAGATCAGTAAAATTTAATTAGGAAAAAAAAATCCCACTCCTGACCATGATTATTGTTATTCAAGTTCCTGAACAAAGCAAGACATAAATACAAAGCTTTAATGCTTCAACCAGAACGGCATCACAGTTGGACAGGGATTTAAGGAAATGTACTTGTGGCACAGTGATTCCATTCATCCTTCCTGCATTTTTTTTGTTTTCAAGTGTTGAGGAAATTTTAAGGAATTTGTAAGGTCCTTTAAAATGTAACAGATTATCTAGTACACCTGATTTCACTATCCCGTTTTCTCCTCCCTGCCTTTAGAGTACATTTTACCTCCTGGGAACATCTTACTTATTTCTGTAACTGAATTATTTCCTTCTCATGGGAAGGTGGAGTAAATCAATTAATCACTATTGGGTACACCTCTGTAGCTTCTGCTGGGAGGCTTTCTGACAAAGTATCAACACTAATCTTTAATTTCTTGCGGCGCTCTTAGGCCCTTACTGATCCATACTTATAAGTGATTTGTACTGGTTCTCAAGACCCAGCATTTGTTTCTTTTTTACATTATCAGGTTAAATCTGGTAGTTGCCTTGACTGGAAACCTCAGTGATGTTTGTGCTAAGTTGTGTGCACGGTAATTGGCCTGGTGAAGGGAGCCACATCATCTTTCTCACTTCAGGTAAAGCATGTCACACTGGATTATCCCTGTTCACATTTGCCTAGCACCTTGCTTGGCACTTAAAGTACTTGAAGGAATTAATGAACCACCCAAATCACCTGTTGATAGCGATTTCAACTTACCAGCCAGCGTATGCATACATTCCATAATAAAAAGCCAGTGGCAATCCCATAATACTTGCATCTCTTCCTGAAAAGGCATCTTTAAAGTGTTGTGTTTGCCCTACAATAAGAACAGAAAGATTTAGGACTTTTCAAAGGATTGGTTATTATTCATTCTTCAACCATAAACATGAATGCGGGGGGCGGGGAGGAGGGGGGTTGGGAATGAACTATACGGTTTCAGGCCTAGATTTCTTACTCTCTGCTCATTCCCAACTTTATTAATGCTGTATCCATTCTACAGAAGGAGTCCCAAAAGTATACTGATTGCCACTAACACTACCTCACATTTATTTTAATAAAATCATGGCCCAGAGGAAAATGGCATCTCAAAAACAATCTCTTTTTTAAGCATGCCTCTACTCGTAACAGAGTTTGACCAGGAAAGAAGACTAAAGGATAGTCTGTAAACTATCGTTTTTAGGAGTGTGATCTAATTCTTAAAAATGATGATAATATAATGTTTGGGAAGAAATATTCAAGGGTCTATCTTCAATGAGGCGGCATGAAACCCAAGAACCACCTTCTCACATCATTTAACTTACTTTCTGCTTTCTCCCTATAGTCCATTAGATACCGACAGGCGTCGGAAAACCCTGTGAAACAAATCTGCTCCACACCCGCAAGCTTCTTTTGTAAAGAAAGATTTATTGGAGCACAGTTAGGTCCACTTATTTACCTATGACTGATACTATCAGTCTATGGCTAATTTCACTCTCCAGCAGAGCTGATAGTTGTGGCAGAGACCAAATGGTGCACAAAGTTGAAAACATTTACTATCCGCCCATTTACAGAGAAAGTCTGCAGACCCTTTCCTAGAGAATGGCATGGTTTCCTTCTAGAAACACAAAAGAAACTATACTGAACTCTAAAATAAATAGGTGTAAACAGATTTTTGCATCAACATGTGAACTGAGCATTTTTATTTTTATTTTTTATAAATTTATTTATTTATTTTTGGCTGCGTTGGGTCTTCACTGCTGCGCGTGGGCTTTCTCTAGTTGTGGCCAGCGGGGGCTACTCTTCATTGCGGTGCATGGGCTTCCCACCGTGGTGGCTTCTCTTGTTGCGGAGCACGGACTCTACGTGCACGGTCTTCAGTAGCTGTGGCACGCGGGCTCAGTAGTTGTGGCGCACGGGCTTAGGTGCTCCCCGGCATATGGGATCTTCCCGGAGCAGGGTTCGAACCCATGTCCCCTGCATTGGCAGGCGGATTCTTAACCACTGCGCCACCAGGGAAGCCCTGGACTGAGCACTTTTATGCATAACAGTTTTCTCTACTTCGTAAATCATAATGGGACTTTTCCTGTATATCTTTTGGATAATTAAAAAACAGAAATTCAGATTCACTTTAGTCAGTCAGTATTCAAAGTTAGGCATGAAAAGTCTCCATTTCCCAAAGAAAACAGCAAATGAGATGATCTAAATGGGAAATGTGACTTGTTTCAAAACTGGCCTTCCCGTAAGAAAATAAAAGGCAGATGGGAGGTAGATGATGTACATAAGACCCTTTTTCTCTTCACTCAAATCTCAGTTTTTGCCTGCATTGTCCAGACAACAACACATGTATCAATATAACGTGCAAGTTTTGAGACCCAAAATGGAGAATATTGAGTTATCCACTAAATGACTTTCCCCTCAAAGCATCCAATTCCCAAACATAGTTCATTTTTTAAAATGATACTGGCAATTCAGAAATACCTATTTTACAAAAACGTCTCTTGTCCTCATATAAGGAAAATATAAATACTGGAAACCCTGTAAAAACATCTCTTGCATATTGCTTTACCATGATCTGTAGTCTACTTGGCCTTAAGGGACAATATTCCCACGAGTGCAGCACTGAACAATCAATAAAAGATATCAAACTTTGCAAAGACTGAATCCCAAGCACAGATCCTGAAAAGGGCCATTTTGAGAGTATCACGAAAGAGAGGTGTTTCTAAGTTTCAGGAATATTTTGGCTGCATAACAGAGGTCTCACGAAGGTGAAAGTTATTATATTCAAAGGAAAGCTTAACAGATCCTCGTAAGAGAATACAGAGCATACAGCTAGTTTCTGGATCTCATTAGATTAGAATAAATGCACAAAATCTGTATAAGTAAAATTTTTCTCTTCTTGAAGTTTCATATTAATGTGAGAAATATGTGATAAGTTAGAGACAAAGAGAATCACTGTTTCATATTAATAGAGTAAATAAACCTGCTAAGGATACTCTCCAAAATATTTTATTTACTTTAAATGTAGTAAAATTCTCAGGTCACTTCTCTGTTAAGTGAGATATAAGGAAACATGGTCACATTAAGCACTGATATTGAAACTGAGCAGGACCCTGTGAGGCCTTCCTGGGGACAGATCACTCCCCATGTCCCCTGCCCCTTGTTTGTAGAAAACCTTTAACCTTCTAGGCCTTCCCTGAGTCCCAAAGAGCAATTTTAATCAGAGAAGTGAGAAAATGCAGAAACAAAGGAAAGCAGTCAGACAAGACAAAACAAAATAGTAATAGATTAGCCGTAAAAAACGAACTCAAGGTCTTTTATTTACTCCTCAAGGGCTATAGGTAACATCCTGAGTCATACCCTTGAGTTGTTTTCCAGATACTAAAATCCCTACCAGGTGGCAAAAGCTAACTGCACGATCACCACAGTCTTGTGGCCCCCAAACTGGCTGCAACCCGAGGATCGATAATTCTGACCTCTGTGACCTTACCTGTTACCTCCTCATCAACTAAACAGAGAATTGTGCACGAGCTGATCATGCACCCTGTGACCCTCTCCCCCACACTGTCTTTAAAAAGCCTTTCCTGAAAGCCATCCGGAGGTTCAGGTCTTTTGAGTATGAGCTGCCCATTCTCCTTGCTTGGCCCTGCAATAAACACTGTACTTTCCTTCACCACAACCTGGTGTCAGTAGATTGGCTTTGCTGTGCATCGGGCAAGCAGACCTAAGTTTGGTTCAGTAACAATATCATAAGTATTAAAGGATCATTCTATTGTAATGTCAAAAAAACAGATCTAAACAATCCATCATGACTTTTGCTCTCAAGGAATTTGCAATACACTACCATTTGGGCAACCTCACCTCACCTCACACACATATAAAAATAAGTGGTAAAAACTGACTACAGTCTTACATTACATCAAAAAGAAAAAAGAAAAGAAAAAAAATCTTTGTTTTAAAGGATAGTATATCATCTTTTGGAACCTAAACTAGAACAAAAGAAGGGTCCATGACCCAGAGTTTCTGCACTTCCCGAAAATGGAAGAAATTCCTTACAGAGGTCTAAAGAGTTAGCCCAGAAAAGGAAAGCAGCAGCAAAACAGATTATTTTCCTTCCCTACATTTCTGACGGGTCAGATAAAATATGGGCAGGCCAGCTCTGTGGAGGCCAAGGTGAATTAGAAGAGTGAGCCCACGTCTTCCCTTCAGTGTAAAGCTATAGTGTTAAACATCTTCATTGTGTTTACGTTGGTTGAGGTTGCTGGATTTGATGCAAACATTTAGTCAGGAGAGCTCTAAGCTCTCCCACAGGGCTTATTAAATGGACAGCAGCAGCTCCCTTTCCCCAGCTACAGAATGACGAATCGTTCCACTTTTATTACTGTTTAATGCCTCTACCATCAGCAATGACTTTTTTGCTTAATTTTGGCATTTCCTTTTGTCTTGTGTAATTCTTCTCTTGCCACTTCATTAAATTCTCTATAAATTCCCTTTCTTGGAACAGACAACATCAATGTAAACATTAAATACTTAACATGCCCAAGTTATATGTTACTCCTTTACAATTTCATCTCACTTTCCTACTTATTTCCTACCATTGTGCCCATTGTTAGTTAAATAACTCACCTGGACCTCCTTCTCATCCGACAACTTCCCCTGAATCCAAGCAATTGCCTGTGCCTTCTTACCTAGAACAACTGAAACTCTAAATGACATCACCCTCAACCATCTCATCTTTTCTTGTTTAATAGTCAAGTCTATAAGGCAAATACTCCCAGAAAATGGTGTTACATTTCCACAGAAATGCAGATTTTACATTAAAAATAATGTAACAATAAAACTTACATTTTTACAGCTATCTTTATTGCCAGATAAGAGTTGTCTTTTTGCGAACGCTATTCCCATATCTGACTCTCCTTCTGTCAAGAATCTATTCTCAAGGTAAAAGGAATAATAACCGTAAAAGAATTATTCATCATTTTTCATTATTTTCCAGATATCTTTTTCTCTCTAATCTTTAATACTGTGGTTGAACTACTTTAAAGTAAAAATAAGAAGACATATTTATCTGTAGCTAAAACTAATGGCTTATTTTTCTTTCCCCCTTTGTGTTTTCGCTACAAATAGTTTAGACCAAGAGAAAATTCACTGATGCCTTATTTTGTTGCTTGGCCCAGTCTTAATCCTCTTGTTGCCATTCAGCTGTAAATACCAACTCAACCCCCAATGCTGCAGGCTTTCAAATCAATTAGATGACAGTACAGAGTCTAAGTTCCATGAGCAGAGAGTCTAATTAAGGGATTCTGCTAGTACAAGCGAAAGTTAGTGTTAGAAGAGACCGAAAGCAGAAACGTACTTTAAAAAGCATTTACTTTTCAGTCCCTACCTTTAATTAGCTGCATCACTCCAGGGACTATAATTATCAGAATTGCTGTGAGCTTGCAAAAGGTTAGGAAAATCTGGATCCGGGCGCTCCAGCTGACACTCATGCTATTTAGGACCATCACCACAGCTGCAAACAAACAGAGGAAGTTAGAAAAGGTGAATCATCATTGGTATGAAGACGTCTTAGGTTGTGGCTCTTCAAAGTGCCATCCATGAACCAGCAGTATTGCCATTACCTGGAAGCAGTTGAGAAATGCTTAATCTCAGGCACCACACCAGACCTAAGGACTACAAATCTGTACCTCAGCAAGATCTCTAGGTGATTTTTATGCACACTGAAGTTTCAGAGGTTTGGATGAAACCTGTGAACAGTAAGAAGTTCTCTCTTGTTCTTTGTATATGTCAATAAGAGTGGACAAATACTGTAGCGCCGTAATAATCATACAAAAATACCTTCTAAGCATCTTCAGCTTGATACAGCAGGCAACTCTTTCCTCGTTCAATGACTGATCTTGTGCATAGTCACCTGCCAGCTGGGCATCACACTCAAGAAGGGGCAATGTGTGGGCTGGGACGTGATTCTTCACCTTCAGGACTAGCTGTAGACAGCACTTTTTGCATTTCCTTTCCACTTTCCAATCAGCACAGTCAGGAGTGACTTTCAACCTACCCTAAATGTACAGGCTTCCCAGATATGTTTTGGAACTTGAAAAAATGTCACAAGGGATGAATCCAAAAGAGTTCCCAGATGCACATTGGGTCTGAAGCCAGCAGAATGTCCCTTTCTTGGTGATACTGTCCACAGTGTCCCGAGTAGTATTCAACTATTCACTCTCCCCGCACTGTGGACCATGAGAAGCTTGAGGGCAGAACAAGCATCATTCATCTCTGTCTTGCTAGTATCCAGCTTCTTCCCTGGCCCAGGAAGATTGTCAACATGGTTTTGTTGAATCAATGAATGAGCTGGATCCTCAGTTTTAAAAAACCAACTTCAGCCAAAGAGGAATGAAATGAATGGCGATATTCTCAAACCGTGCCTCCTATACTCTGCTGGAGTGACTTATTCTAGATAGTGGATTTCAACTTTACACGCTTTCTAAAACCTTATGCTTAGTGTTACTTGCTCCCTCCTCCACTGCCCAAAAACCTACTTCATACCTGATATTTGTAGTTATTATCTATAGGCCTTATTTTTAGAAAGGTGTATTCTCCCTAAACAAATAACAAAAATGTACGAAAATACTTCTTGGAGGATAAAACCAAGCTCAGAATTCTTACAGTTCGGGTTGCAATAGGAAGCTTTCCATATGTACAATAATGAGTGATGTTCATAGTTCCAATTGCCTGATACAATCATTAGCTCATTTCAGAATTTAAGAATTGGAGCAAATGTATCAACACAATGTATAATAGCAAAAATTTTTAAATAACCTAGCCCCCTAAAGGAAGGTTAATTAAGGTATACCTTTTTAAGGGTTTACTATGCAGCCATGTAAAATCATGATGCAGTTAAATATTTATTACACAAAAGATTGTTCATGACGTTTTACTGACCAATACAGCAAATTACAGAGAGATGGGTAGATGATAAATTGATAGGTAGATAGGAAGACAGATAAAGACACAAAGACAGAGAGAAAGGAACGGGAAAATTCTGAATGAGTGTTTACTAAAACATTAACAGAAGGTATCTACAGATGATAGAACATTGAATAATTTTCAAGTTTAAAAACTTATTTTTCTACATGATTTAAAATAATTTTTACAATGAACATGAAGTATTAAGCAAAAAATCAATAAAAGCAATTTTCATTTTTTAAAACAACTCAAAGATGGGAAGAATAAGGGACCATGAAAAGTTAGATAGGAGGTTACTAATGAAGAATGTTTCAAAGGAATAATGATGCGAATGATTAGAAAGGCTGGAGCCCTGAATAAGCTACAGGGGAAGCTAAGAGAAATATTTTATCTATGTTTGAAGCTGGAAACATGAAGAAATAGACAGGTCTATTGTTAATCACCAAGTGCATTATTTTATCAGTGAAAAGATAAAATATAATTATTTTTCTCTCCCCTATACAAAGCACTTATACATTGAAAATAATTTAATGCAACTCTGTGTTCATCTTCGTCATCCAGTGATTCTTTCCCTTTTTCTATGTAAATTACTCTGTGATAAATGAGTCATGATAAGAAAGGGATTATTTTTTTAGTTAAGGAGATTCAGCACTGATCTGAAAATAATTGGGTGCATGTTCCCACCAACAACAAAAGAGCACTGTTTTCTTTTAACTAGAGCTCCTAAAACCCCAAAGTATTTTTGAGAGTATTTTTGAGAGTACTCCACAATAGAAAAGAGCTGTTGTAAGGAGAGGAGGGGAGAAAAACGAGGAAGGAGAAAAAGGAATAGAGGGTGGGAGGGCAGGAAGGAAGAAAAAGAAGAAAGGGAGGGAGGGAGGAAGGGGGAGGGAAAAGAGAGAGGCATTCTCATATTTAGAACCTCTATATATTTGGGAAGAGGAAAAAAGGCTTGTTACATTCATAAAGAGCGTAGGCATTACATTCAGTGCCTATTGGAATAGAAAAAAAATGAGTTTTGGGAATTTTATATTTTGTAAAGTTTTCTTAGAAAAATGGAAGACAAAATCAAACAAATATTATGAATGGATAATCTCACCTTGCTTTCCTCTCAGACAGCTGAAATAAAAATTCTGGTTAAGTCTGATTTCTCTCAAAGGTTTCTCAAAACCCTGCTTTATCTGAGCATCCAGACATTGCCCTCATTATTCCATATGCCAAATTCCAGCTGAGATGTACCTCCATGACCCTGAAGGGATACAGCTTAACAAGTAACAAGGTAGCCAGTACAGAGGCACTTGTGAAGGTCCTCAAGTGGCTAGAACTGCTGTTTCATCATGTGTCTAAAACAGAGAAATTTAAGTCTATGTATATTGCTTATCCAACAATACTGAAAAGGGATTTGGGATTCACTAAATGCAAGTTTTCAGAGTTTCTGAAACAACATCTACAATACTTTGGTTTTTATACACTACCTGTCCACATTGTAATCATCAAAGAAATCTGAGAAAGCTTTCAGCCTAGCTTTACTTCCTTTGAATAATGATTGCTAACTTCATGCATTAAGAATTACTTGTATCAATTTGGGCTTATTATTTTTATTATTGCTTACCTTAAATGTTACCAAAATGAAAACAGAGGGACATATAGTTTTTATTTATTTATTAATGATGCCGTTTCCTAAGAACTGAAATGCAGCAACTAGGAGTGTTAAAAACTGGTACCATGATTTAAGGACTGGCAAGTATTTCTTTCTGCACTTCCATAATTCAAGTCTGTCTTTTATTTTGCAGAGTGAGGTTACCGAGCCTGGATATATTGGGTTATCTCCCAGGTTCAGGTTCTCCCTGGCTTCTGGCTTCTGACTGCTCTGTGCTAAACTGGTAAAATATATGGACGCTATATGGATGCGACATGGTGAGCTAAAGTGAATTGTTCCACTGTTCTTTGTAGCAGCTGCCTGGGTCGCCTCTATCTCTTTGTTTGAATTCGTTTCCTGGATACATTCATTTCAGATAGGCTTTTAGCAATAAACAACCTTTATAAAGCAGAGAGACTATATCTAGGATCTCACTATTGGGAATAAAAATGGTAAGCCTTAAATAAATATATACTATTGTTATATGACAGACATTGTGCAAGGACCTTACGTGGATAATGTTATTTAATCGTATCTCTATGACGTGGTTACCATCACTGGTGTTATTTTTCTGATGAGCAGCTGAGAATCCAGATATTACTTAACTTGCCCGTGTTCACGAAGATAAGGTGTAAAGATAGGATTTTTTTCAGGATAGGACTGAAACCAAGTAAGCCGACCCCAGAGTCCACACTTTTACCAGTCGTTCACAGGTAACAGTGAGAAAGTAGCTCAGAAGACACATACGATCTCACTACTATACCTAGTTCTTCCAAACTCCCGGTGACTCTTCCCCTCTGCTAAGATTCATGTTAATCTTGGCTGGGATTTCAGGACACTTTGATTCTACATTTTTTTTTTTTTTTTTTTTTTTTT